TTAAAGCTGGGGGTGTAAAAGAATCGAGTCGAGCACGAGTCAACACTAGCTTGAGCTTCAGTTTCAGCTTGATTAGTTAATCGAGTTTGAGCTTGAGCTATAGTTTATGAATTCGAGCTGGCTCACGAGCAGACATGCACATCACAAAGAGCACAAAAAATCATCTTGATCAAGCACTAATCTCAAGGCATATTTGAATTGGAAACTTCCAAAATGTTGCTAATGAGAAGACGTGAACATCCTCTACGAATATGGACACCTCAACTACACTGCTCATCACAACCTCATGAAGATGGACAAGAGACTTATGAAGATCATACAATATGCCTTGTGAGGATTACCAAGGCAAGCACCTACCAAAGCAATCCTTCAACTCAACCATTCAGTGTAGAAGGTTAGAGACCCGAGCGCTCACTTGAAAACTGAACACTTGCACCACTCACACTACCACCAACAATGGTAAAATTATTTTGTGCGGTCATCGAATGACGTCCAGAGACAAATGAAAATGTGTCAGGTCATTTTTTTGTTGTTTTCCGCTCGGTACCGGATAATGTGGCACATTCTGATTCGCCTCTGAGCTGTTTGAAAACCGCACATTAAAATTTCTCCCAACAATAAGGGGCAATCCTTATGGAAGTAGGAGATTCACATAAGAAAATCAGATATAAGGTGAAATGAAATATGATATGAAAAAATACTATTATTATGATATAATATGTTAATCTCCTTAATTTTTTTTCCATCTACAAATTTTATGGAAAATGACTTTTTTAATTTTATAGCTTACAAAAATGAAGCTATATACTATAAAATATCACATTGGCAGAGTCAAGAAAGGCAGTCGTGCGAATCCAACAGACTTCTGTTGACTTAGCAAAACAAAGTGGAGCTTACACTGATTCAAAAATTGTTTGTTAATACTACCACCCTTTAAATGATTGTTGAATAGATAAATTTTCAGTTAATATATTTTTTATTTAAATTTAGTTATGAGAAAATTATTTTGAGATGTATAAAATCTATAAATAATTAATTAAAACATTTATTTAAATCAAATTCAACAATAATACAATTTTATTATGATAAAAATGGGGTTATAATATCATTTTTAGGGATGTAAGTAAGTCAAGTTGGTTTGAATTAGGTTAGATAAATGGCTCATGAGTCGAACTCTATGAGCTAACGAGCCAAGACTCTATCGGCCCTGACTCGTCTCGTTAGCTAGCGAGCCGGCCAATTTAAGAATTATTAATATAAATACAGTTAAACATATTATCATGTAAGAGTATAAGTGAAAAATAATTAAAAAATTTATATTCTTTCATTATACCAACTATTACCAAGTGAGTCCTTATTATTTTTATTAAAATTTCTAACTCTTTTAATCATTTTATATAATAATTATTTGAATAAAAAATTTTATTCGTAATAAACGAGCCAGCTCTTGAGCCAATTCAAATTCGTAAAATTAAGCTCGAGCTCGAATTTGATCAATTAATCAAGCTAAAGATAACTCGAGCTTGGCTCCTTATTTACAACCCTATCTCACATATGTTATATTTTTTCTCTTTTTTGCCAATTTATACCTAAATATATTTAAATTTCATATATATTAAATAATATTATATCACAAAAAAACACGACAAAATAGCCCCTTTTATGCCACTTGAAAATGAAAAGCGTTCTAAATAAAGTAAAATAAAATAAAATTATGACAGAATTCCGAAATTGGAAGGATCTTGCGTTAATAACACGGCACTTAATTAACTAATTAATTAATTAATATTTATATAATTAGTTAATTAAAGTCTACAACGAACCTTTCAATCTTATTAAAGTTGTTAACCTAATTTCCTTACCATTTGGAATTATATCGCATGTTGTGATTTTCACTTTAATCCCCCAACATTTGGTAAATTTGTTTTTATAACCTAAACCCACTTTATATAAATAAAAAATAAAGATCAAATTCAACAGAAAAATGAAGTCACTTATGACGATGAAAAATAAAAATTTAAATAATAAGATATGGGAGAAAAATTAGATGAGCTACTTTATAAAATTTTAAAATTTAAAATTTATTTTAAGATAAAGATAATATGTACATAAATAATTATTTATTATTATATTTATTTTAAAATAAATTTAGATGTAATTAGGATTTTTTATTTATTTATACAAATTTTAAAACGCATTAAGGTTGTGTAATTGGAATAATTGAGGTTAGGGTAATTTTCAAATTTTTTAAATTTAAAAAATATATAAAAAATTAAAATCGAAGTCGTCATTGACTTATCTCAATCTGAATAAAAAAATTAATATTTTTTTAATAATTTTTACTCTTTTAAGTATGATCATTGACTTACGTACGGTCTATAATAGTTAGTTAATTTTAATTAGCATTCGTTTAAGAGAGATAGTTAGCGAACTATGTAGTAATTATTGGTCATAATTGGTTTTCACGCCACAAAACTATCTGATGGAAAGTTATTAAACTTATAATAAAAGGTCTAAACTCAATTAATAATCACTTGTTAATATATATAAGAGAGAGAGAACTAAAAACTAAATTAATTTTTAAATAATTTACATAACCTTAATTATCAACAATGGAGATTGTGTTTGTTAACAAAGGAATTTGGATTCTTCGGTGTAGGGGTGTCAAAATGGGTATGCGGGTCAAACTCAGATTGACCTATGTTTAAATAGGTTGGCATTAACCCGACCAGGTTTTATAAACAGATCACGATTGCCAACCCCGATCCGACCCGTGCGAGTTACCGGGTTGACCTAACTAGGTTGAGGCGCGTGGCGGTTTAGGTGAGGCAGCTAGGCCAGGCGGCACCTCTTGCGGGCATGCCGCGTGGGTGGCTGGGTGTGTAACAGCGTGATGAAGGCAGGCTATGTTGGGTTCGTGAAGTGCGACACCTATTGCAGAAGCACTGAAGCAGGCTTGGGCGCATGCTAGGCTGCTAGCTAGCTAGGCTGGGCGCCATCCATGGGTAGCAGATTCGAACCCGGGTCAACTTCGGGTTCCCGGGTAAATCGAACACAACCCGTTTGACAAACGAGTTGACCGAAACACGAAATTTTTCTGATCGGATCCAGGTCAAATTTCATGTCATGTCAATTATTGACACCCCTACTTTATTGTGATAGATATGCGGTGTAGGAGAAAAAGGGTTTTGTAAGAGGGAAAAACGGTTCTCCTACGCGTGGGCTAAGTCCACTTAAGCTTATTGGATTCTTATACTCAATTATTTTCAATTTTTTTTTTTCAAAAAAGTGTCCGAGCAAATGAAGGATAAAAAAAATAAAAAAGATATTGAGAGAATGAGAAATGACTTTATGGGAACACTTTTTTTTTTTTTTTTTTTTATGAACATCTAATACCACTTAAATATTAATTGGTAGAATGATAATAAATCACTATATAAGAAATATTAATTCTTAAATTAATTGTATTGTGCATATTAAGAGTCTATGTGAGGAGAAATTATTCTGTGCGGTCACCGGATGATATCCGAAAACGAATCACTACACGCCATGTCATTTTTTAGCTATATACATGTGATGTGTACCAAGTGACGTGACGCATCCTAATTCGTCTTCGAACTGTCTGGCAACCGCACATAATAATTTCATCAATATGGGACGGCTGTAATATTCTGTGAAACAGTGAAGGAGATTGTGAAACTATTATGGGAAACTAACTTTTTAAAACTGTTCTGAGGTTTTGTTTCGAACAACTTTCTTAGTTCTTTTTAAAGCAGTTTTTTTTTTTGTACAAAAATTTCTGCTAGAAAGCTACTTTAAAAGCAACAAAAAAATTGTCTCAAGCGAATCCTAGATATTATGAATAGTAGCTTTTCATGATAGATTTTTTTTAAAAAAAAAAAACAGCAAGAGAAAGTAATTAAATGAAACAATGGTTGCAACATGAAGAGTAAAACAACATAAAAGATGTCATTTAGAACCGCTTTCTTATTGTTTTCTAAAATTATTTTTTAGTAGAAAATTTTATTGAACTAAAAGTTTTTTACTAGGAAGTTACTTTAAAAGCAATAAGAAAATCATCCCAAACGAACCTTAATCAAGCTTTGAGCCTTTGTTTAAGCATAACTACCTTTAAAAAATCATTTTTTATTTAAAATTATGCAAGAATTCATAATTTCTTAATCAAAATTAATATAATTCACTCAATATTATTTATAATATTTTAAGAATAATGAAAAGATACTTTTCATCTCAATATCTAATTATTTATTCAATATTTTGACATACTAACATCTCTCTTAATATAAATAAATTTTATTATACATTAAAAAAATTAAAATATAGATTAGATTAAATTAGGCTTATCACTTCATAAAATATATATTATTTTTTTCATATGATTGCATGTAGTTGTTGAACTTGATGTATTGAATGTGTATGTCTTGTGAGGTGTCCTCAGTAGGTAAATTGTTCTATGAAGTAATTTTTATTTTTTATTTTTATAATGATATGAGATAAATTATAAAGTTTGTAATATAAATTCATAATCTTTAAACCAATATAATATTTACATTCAATTAATAGACCACTAATACTATTAATTCAATACATTTAATTTCGAGATTTGTTGAGAAGATGTAATTCGTTTAAAAGACGAGCTCAAGTTCGAGGCTAGATATTCTCGACTTGTGAGCTCGTGAGCGAGTCAGCTTGGCTTACTTATTATCCAAAATAAATTTCCTCACTTTTTAATTATGCATCAAATGCTAATTTGAGATCATTGAGACTCACATACAATCATTTTTTGCATCAAGATTTGTGCTTGATTAAGTGAACTTTTCGGCAATATATCACTCATGTATTTACATAATTTTTATATTTATTTATGCAACACTTAAATGGCTCAATAGCAAAATATATATAACCAATAAAATTGAATAATGACAAATTAAAAATATTCCTCTTTGATCAACTTTTCCTCACTTTTGCCGTTCAGGTTGAAAAAGAAGCCACAATCAGACGTGAGAGAGAGTTGGTGGAGAAAGAAGCCTCCCAACGAGTCAAGCTTCCACATTTCCAAATCTTACCAGTCAACAACTCTCAACTCCCCCACCATCCATCCTCTTTCCCCTTTTAAGAACCCTAATCTCCCTTTCCTCTTCCTTCTGCTAACAAAACCCTTCCTTCAATCCAATCTTCCCACTCTTTCCCACCCCCAAAACTCCTCCTTTCCCCCTTCTTGATCCCCAATATCCCATCTTTCCATCGAAAAATGGCGATACCACCAACTCCCCTCGCCGTCCTCCTCCTCCTCCTTTCCCTTTCCCCCCTTTGCTCGTCTCAAAAAGCCTGCACGTCCGATACCTTCTCCCAAAACAGACTCTTTGCTTTCTGCGATTCTCTCCCCGTCCTCTCCTCCAACCTCCACTGGACTTACCACCCGACCAACGCCACCGTCGACGTCGCCTACCGTGCCCCTCAAACTTCCGACGGCTGGATCGCTTGGGCCCTTAACCCTACCGGAACCGGCATGGACGGCGCGCAAACTATCTTCGCCTTCCATAACTCCAACAACGTGATGACCACCGTCTCTTCGCCTATTACTCTTTCTAATCCGGTTGTGAAGAATTCCAGCCTTAGCTATAAGGTTTACAGTATGGGTTCGGACTTCGTCAACAACGTGATGACTATCTATGCGACGATTCAGCTTCCGGGAAACAAGACGAGGGTGAATCATGTGTGGCAAGCTTCTAATACCTTCTCTAATGGACTGCCTGCCGGTCATCCGACGACTGGGCCGAATGTTCAGTCGACGGCGACGCTGGATTTGCTGTCCGGTCAGTCGTCGGCGGCGGCCGGGAACTCCAGGCTGCATCGCAAGAATGTAAGTTTGGCTTACTGGTTTTAATTTGTTTTGTTGATGATGACGATGATGATATTTTCAGTTTTTGATATGATTTGGATGGCCTGATTCTTTTGATTTATGTTTGATTTTGTGTTAAGGAGCTGATTAGTTAGATTTTTCAATTTATTTGTTGTTAAGCTCATTGAAATTATAGTTTAATGATAGTTTAATTACTGATTTGCTGATTTATTACGTGTTATTATATTTTATACATTTTAAAAAAAAATTATATTATTTGAGGTGTATATATTAAGCAAATATGAAATAAATAATGGCTAAATATGTAATTTGGATTTATTTTTTATAAATATTTGAATTTCATCAAATGATGTAAACCATACTTAGTGAATTATATGAATTTTAATGATAACTCAATAAGAAAGCAAATAAATAAACATAAATCATATTTAAAAGAATTCAAATTTAATAAGAAAATAAATAAATGAACTTGAATATTATGCCTACTCTTTCCATTACAAGAAGAACATCTGGCTTTTCTTTTTGGAAGTATCTATAAGTTTTTACCATTTGTTCACCTCTTGTTTGATGCAAGAGACACCCAAATTAAATTTAGGATCATCTCATACATGTTTATATTGGAGTACACCAAAAAATAAAGCTCATTTAGGCTTCGTTTGAGACGGCTTTTTTATAGCTTCTTAAAGCAGCTTTCTTATAAAAAAAACCGTCACAAACGAAACCTAAGTGATGGTTTGCTATCTTAAGTTTTCTCTTCATCGTGAATGTCTTTTACTGGAAAAATTATTACGTGCGGTGTCCGGATGCGTCTGTAAGCCAATCAGGACCCGCTACGTCACCCAATGCACAGTGCAGTGGATGACGTGGCGTGTCCGGATTGACCTCCAGACGCATTCGGACATCGCACAGAATAATCTCTCCTTTTACTGCCAATGCCATGTATCATGATCATTCAATTTGACAAAATATTGGAATCATATAAATGGATTGCAGACACATGGAGTCCTGAATGCAGTGAGTTGGGGAATTTTGATGCCTATGGGAGCTATAATTGCAAGGTACATGAGAGTGTTCAAGTCTGCCGATCCTGCATGGTTTTATCTCCATGTGGCTTGCCAGTGCTCGGCATACATTGTTGGAGTTGCAGGATGGGGAACTGGTCTTAAGCTGGGCAGCGACTCCAAGGGAATCACATACCACAAGCATCGCGACATTGGTATTGCTCTTTTCAGCCTGGCTACACTTCAGGTATTTACACCTCTCTGCAACTCCTATAATAAAGCTTTATTTGGGACGACTTTTTTATTATTTATATACTATAAAGCTACTTTAAGAAGCATGAAGGAAGCCTTCTCTAACAAAGCCTAAGACTTTTGCTTAATTTTTGTCGTACGAAGAAATGTCTTTCAATTTCACTCTATACATAAGGCCTATTCACACTTGATAATTTCTCCTGACAGAGTAAACTTCTTTAAGTTTTGCGAAACGAACAAGTTTATATTATTAAAACCTGAAAAAAGTTTGGCTAGTGATGTATCATTAACTACGCAACTCTTATTATTCTTTTGGTTGGGAGATTTGACTACAAATTAAGAGGTATTGAGTTCGGGTTTTGCATATGTGATGTGTATGCGTTTGTCTTAATTGAGCTAAATGTCCTAAAAAAAAATATATCATTAACTAATTCATCGTGATATATAACGGAAAATTCATTTTAGCTTTGTTTGAAACTTTGAATGGAAGATAAGGGTGAAGGAAGTGAGATAAAATTCCAACAATGTGCTGCTTGATTATGAATCTACAGCCATTGATTTGCTCTTTCAACCCATTTTTTCATCTACTTTTCACTCAAATTTTTATCATCCAAAACTCTCTTTGGCTTACACATTCATACTATTTTTCTTGATACCCACAATGTGAATGACAAAGAGGTGGAATTCTGTGAATATATGACCATAAATCATAGATAAGCAATACTTCTATAATTTTCCATCATCTTTCCATTCCCAAATAAAGCATTAAGAAATTGTATTTAAGGTTTTATTTGGGACAGTTTTCTTTTTGCTTTTTAAAACAGTTTTCTAGTACAAAATTTAAAATTTTTGTACTAGATATAGTAAAAAAGTTGTCCCAAACGAAATCTAAATCGTCATCAGTGTTAACCAACTACAAGCGCAGAGCTGCAGGACTAGCAGTTTTTGATGAAATTCTGTCTTTATACCTTACTTTTCAAGAAAAAAACATATAATGAAATATGAATCTCAATCAAACACATTCATATTTTCTATAACTTTTAATCATCTTTCCCTTCGCATCACTTCTCCCACACAAAGTATTAAGAAATTTAATTCAAATTGTCTTTCACAGTGTGAACCAACTACACTTTCAGACTTTCAGAACTAGCAGTTTTGATTAAATTCTATCTTCATAGCTTATGTTTGAAGAAAAATAACACATAATGAAATATGAATCTCAATCATACAGGTATTTGCATTGCTTCTGAGGCCAAAAAAGGACCACAAATACCGCTTATACTGGAACATATACCACCATGTGATTGGCTATACAGTGATAGTCCTTAGTGTGATCAACATCTTCAAGGGATTCGATATCTTAGACCCTGATCAAAAATGGAAACATGCTTACATCGCAATTATCGCATCACTGGGAGGCATCGCCGTGATCCTCGAAATCTTTACTTGGGGAGTAGTTTTGAAGAGGAAGAAGTCAGGTGGATCTGATAAGCCTCACAGTGGTATTAATGGAGTTAATGGCACTAATGGTTATGGTGGAAGACAGCATCAGGTGGTATAGAAATTAGATTCATATAATATGGAGAGAGTTTTCTCTTGAGGCTTGTTTCCTTTTGTGTGTTCTGTTTGTCATATCTTTTTAGTAGCAGGGGTTGGATATATTATTAATTTGTTACTTTGTAGTTAGAAAGGGGGGAGAGACAGAGAGATGGTTGTTGATATAGATGTAATTCTTATATGGTTTTGGCATCAGGCTTGTCTGTGGAATTTTGCTTGCCTATTATTTTAGTTAGACAGACCTGTTTCTCATGCATTTGTTAGCTTTGGATTTGAATTAGAGTTTTATTCATTATAGCATTTTTTATTAATATATATGTTCTAATAAAATTATGTGTTACTAAGATGAGGATGCTCAGGTGGATGAGTGGATAATGCTAAACGAGTATATCCGTTAAAACTTTGGATTAGCTCTAGTGGCAGATAAGATTAAAGAGTCGCCTTCGATGGTTTGGTTGTATAAAACATCTACCTTCCGATGACTCAATTAGGATAGTAGATGTATTATATCTGACATCTATGAAGAAAGATATAGATAAACTTAGCTTGAAAATAATATAAAAGACTTTTATTTATTAAATTTAAATAAGAATTTGACTTTTAAAAGGATACAATGAAGAAAAAAATTCATGTAGCTAACCCCACATAATGAAAGAAAGGCTTGATATTGCTATTAATATTATTGTATATGTTCTAATAATAATTTGGTTTTATTTTTAGATTCTTGCTTTACCATTTTTTGAGATTATGCAATTTTAAATTTTATATCTATTTTGTAATGTACTTTTTGTTAAAGTTTTTTGTGATCAAAATTTACAATAATTTATTTGCTTTTTTTTTATGTTTGCAAAATTTCAATTCATGCTTAATATTCTAACTTGTTTGTAATTCAGTTGGCAATCAAAATTTCTACTATGGTTATCTTAATTATTGCCAATTGGGATAAATAAGTAAATTATAGAATTAAATCTGTACAACAACAACAACATAAAGCCTTCACACCAATACTTAGGGTCGAATATATGAATCCTTTTTCTCTACTATCATTTAAATTTAAAAAAGAAATGTCATGTCTAATATTTTCTAACCAAGTCTTTTAAAGTCTACCTCTATCTTTCTTAACATAAGTCAAATATAATACATATATTTTCCTAATCGGGTAATCAAAAGGCTGTCATTTTATATGACCAAACCATCTAAGACGACTCTCACTTAACTTATCTTTTACATGAGCTACTCCAACCTTTTCAAGTATATGATCATTTCATATCCTATCTGCAAGAGTAAAGCCACTCATCCACCTGAGCATCCTCATCTCTGTGACACTTAACTTAATATTATGCTTCTCTTTTAATGGCCAACATTCTGCACCATAAAGCATTGCAGGTCTCACCACCACCTTAAGTTTGAAGGGGAATTTTCTATCACACAACAAGTCCGATGCATTCCTTCAAGTCAACCATCCAACTTGAATTTTGTTGATAATATCTTCATCTATTTCACCATCACTCTGAACAATAGACCCAAGATATCTAAAATGTGTATTCTTATTAATGACTTGATCGTCCAAAGTCACAAACCCTCCACCAGATCTATTACTACTTAAATTACACTCAAAATATTTAGTTTTAAATCTACTCAAATGAAAACCTTTAGACTCTAAGGTTGACCTACATAATTCAAGTTTACCTTCATCTCTCTCTCTCTCTAGTCTTATCAACATGAAGAATATCATCAGCAAAAGCATACACCAGGGAACAACCTCTTTCAAATGTCAAGTGAGAACATTCATGACTAAAGCAAAAAAAGATATAAGCTTAAGGCCGATCCTTGATGTAATCTAACATAAATAAGAAAATACTTGGTAAAACCATCTTATGTTTGAACACAAGTAACAACACATGCATACATATCCCTAATGACTTGAATATAAGCATTATTAACTCATTTCTTTTTTAGAACTTTCCATAGTACTTCTCTTGGAACTTTATCATATGCCTTCTCTAAATCAATAAATATCATATGAAAATCCTCCTTATTCTCTCTATACTTCTCCATCAAGCCTCTCAATAAATGTATAACGTCAATAGTAGATCTACCCAGCATGAATCCAAATTGATTTTGAGAAACATTACATTGTACCCAACCTATGTTCCATAACTCTCTCCCAAAGTTTTAAAGTATGACATATTAACTTAATTCCTCTATAATTTGCACAATCGTATACATCACCTTTATTCTTAAAAATACGAATAAACACACACATTCTCCAAGCATCTAGCATCTTTTTAGTCTTCAAAATAATATTAAAAAGTTTAGTAAGCCAATAAATTCCTTCATCTCTTAAGCATTTTCACACCTCTATTGGAATATCATCAACAGTTTTTCACACTTCATTTTTTAAAGCCTCTCTAACTTCGATTTTACTAATACACTCATAAAACTAAAAATCTTTATTTTCATTTAGGATGTTAAGGTCGCTAAAGTCAATCATATTATCAAAATCTTTATTAAAAAACTTAGAAAAATATCTCATCCACATTTGTTAAATATCTTCTTCAAATAAAAGTACTTTTTTTTTTTATTTTCATCCTTAATGCACTTCAATTGCACTAAATTCTTACTACTATCTCCTTGCTTTGCTAACTTATGCATATATCTTTCTCTCTCCTTGGTATCTAATTTATTATATAAATCATTAAAAGCTAAAATTTGTGCATGGCATATTACTTTTTTAGACTCCTTACATGCTTCTTTATATATTTCATAATTATCAGAATTTTACATCTAAACTAATTTTTATAACAAATCTTTTTATTTTTATCATTTTTTCACATTTTGATTACACCATTAAATGTTTTTACTATTATGAGATTTTTCCTTTAATACTCCAAACACATCTTCTGTAACATTCTTAATATCACTAACTATGTTTTCCTGCATAACAATAACTTTCTCATGCACAAATAAAATCCTCAAATCTAGATTCTTACTCTCAAAAATATTTTTGTTAAAATTCTTTAAAAGCCTCCATCTAATCCTAAAACAACGTTTTCCTTTATTTTTTATATTCTACCCCTTCATCTAAATGTACAAAACTAATAAGTGATGTTGGGTACATAACTTTCACTTAAAATAAGTTTACAATCTTTACAATCTAAATGATATCTTTTTCTTATAAGAGTAATTAATATGAATTTTACTATATGCATTATTATAAGTACGTAATTAGATGTTCATCTCTTTTCCAAATAATATATTAGCAATTGCAAAGTCATAAGTTATAGAAAAATTTAATATAGTCTTACCACATTCATTAGTCACTTCAAACTCATAACCATCATAAATGCTTTTAAAATCATCTACCTCTCTACCAATATGTCAATTTAAATCTCCTCCAATAATTTTTTTTTTCTTCAATGGGTATTTTTTGTATTAATTCTTCTTAAGTCATTTCAAAATTTTAATTTGGAACATATATCCAAAGTTACCTGAGGAGTATAAGCACTTATAATATTAATAATCATAGCATCAACAACAATCTTCAAGACCATAATTCTATCTCTAATTCTATTAATTTTTACAATATTATCCTTCAAACTCTTATCGATAATCACACCTACATCATTTCTAGTACAACTTTTATCAAAATATCATAGTATAAATCATAAACTATCAATCTTCTTAGCCTTCTCTCCAACTCATTTAATGTTTTGGATGCATAAAATATTTATCTCCCTGTAAATCGTAATATCTATTAATTTCATTAATTTATCTGTAAGTGAATCTATCTTTGAAGATCCCATCATAATTTCAATTTCATAGACTAGCTTCTTTGCCAACATCTATCCATGATGTGGAAACCCTCATATATTTAACACTGAATCCGGGCACTGGTGCAATAACTCTTGAACACTTCTCACTGTATTCAGGCCATACAGCACGTCGCTTCCAAGGAACACTCTAGCATTAACACAATGAATTAAATAATTTATATCATGATTATTCAACAAGTTTTACGCTGGTTGTCGACTACACTCTCTATTTTTCTAATCCATAACTTGAGATCTGATAACGACAGCATTATAGAATTGAATTAGTAATTTAGAAAATTTGCAACCGAGATTAAACTTGACAATGCTATGTAAAGTCATTATCACTTTTTAATAAAATAAAATAATAAAAAAAAAAAAACTGCTGAAGCAATCAAACTTGACAGGGCATTTGAAAAATCATTAAAATCTAGAGGCCAACGTCACAGAATCAATTCAACAGCAACCAAAAAGAAAAAGGATCTTTGATGTGATTTATAATTATAAAACAAATACATGCTTATCTTTATTTATAATAAGATTATTCAAATTTTTAAAATTATAATAAGATTTAACTCATATTTTAAATATCATAAAATTCTCAACAAATGAGAATTAATCATGAAATTTACAAATAAAAAAGTTCATTAATTTGTTTTTTTTAATAAAGAATTACACTTAATTTAATTTCCCTTAAAATTAGTACATAAATACTGAGATTTTGTTATTATGACACGTAAAAATAAAATATTACACTGGTATTTAAAATATTTTGCATAAAAAACATCCAATTTTGGCCAAAAAAAATTTATATTGATACACAAAATTAAAATATTACATTCATAAATAAGATACTTCGCATAAAAATAATAAAAAAAAAATATTCCTTTTTTTATCCTAACTAAGATAGTTGAATCATCTAAGTTCCATAATTTATTTTTAAATATTTTTTAAAATAATTGCAAGTGGAATAAAGAAGAAAAATATTAATTTGTTATATAATAAATTTTTTTATTTTTGAAATTTGAAATCTTCGTATTAGTTGTCACATTTAATAGCCAATGTGACAACCATAAAAGTATAGCAAACTTAGCATATATTTAGGCTAACTTTTTTATTATTTTGTTTTAAAACTACAATCATAATTTTTATTTGATTATTATTTTTTTTATTTTTATTTTTTTAAATTATGTTAGGAAGCTACATTTTATAACAACTTTTTTAAAAAAAAATTAAGAATGTATTTGGAAAGGCTTCATCATTTTATAAAATTCATTATGAAATTATTGTAAGAAAAATAGCTGAATTACTCTAGTTATAAAAAAAACAGATTTTTACCATAGAAATTTTTTAAAAATGAGGAGAAAACAACAAGAAATTGTAGCCATCTAAAATTATGATTACCGTCTCGAAATCAAATCGGCAAGAATCAAAAATAATACCCCAAACGAAACTATGAATATTGTCTGAAAAGCAAAGTGACAAGAACAAGAAACAGTAGTCAAATGAAATTGTAATTACTGTCGAAAAAACAAAGCGGAAAGAATGCTATCCCAAACAAGCACTTTCCCCGCAATAATTTTCGAACCACCGTTATAAAAAACTAAAGCCGTCCATTAATTAAATCCATTTAATGTTTTTAATTAGTCGTAATGATAAAGACTTAATCACTTCTTACAATGAGTTGTTAATTAAATACACTATAAATTTAAGATCTAGGAAAAATGTAAGAAACAGAGGTCTTATAAAACTGGCATAGCTATCTTCTCCATAATTCTTTTGCTATTATAAATTAGCCATCTTCATCATCCAATAAAGATCAAGCCCAGTCCTTGTTTTTTTGATTTTTACATTCTCACTAGATCAAGTCAAATAAATCATCATCCTACACCAGAATTATCAATGCATATGGGAGCTTACATTGGCAGCCTGAATTGAATAAATTATCAATTGAGATGTCACTCATGTTGTGTTGGAACATTCGCAATGATAGGGATAGTTTAACGTCTTAACTTTACATAAAATTCAGTACATACACAGATAAGAGATGAAAGCAATAATTTATACGAGGCACAAGAGCTCTTATGTAGAAAACCCAGTAAAAAGAAAATCATGGGGCCTGATCCAATTAAAATGATTTCGCTAGTGTTTGATGTTGTCGATTACAAATGATAACCTTCATTGAGGAAATGCGTTGATAAAATGTAATGAACATATTACATGATTGAAGTTGGAAAAGCCCTACGGCATGAGAGATATCTTTAAAAGATTGTTTGCTTGGTCATTTGAGAAGAGAAGACCAAAATTCAGTTGCATAACTACCTTTCACTTTAGATTTATTTTTTTCAAAATTCAATTGATCAAATTCCACAAAATGAGCACGAGAAATAAACTAAACTAAACTCTGGTGGTATAATAATGCTGTTCTTCACAAATATCTTTCAATATGATAGCAAGTTTTAAAACCATATTGACTCCCTACAAAAGCATGATTCCTATCGCTCTACCACTTAGATTTTCTCTCTCAATTTTTAATTTTTGTTCTCTCTCAACCACACTTAAATTGAATAGTGAATGCATCAGATCTTCTAATTTACATAAAATATTTCACAACAATTTTACAACAAGAAAATTTCCCTCAGCCAATCGTCATTCGATAGCTCCATCAGGAAAAAGAAGTTCGGCCGAAGCCCCATCACTAATCAGACGCTTACTTATTCCAATTCAATACAAAGTCTAATCAGCAAAAGCATAAGAGAAAAATTACCTGATTACATTGGCAGTGATGCTATCTCTTTCATGACCTGAGCTTTATCTGCTTCGAATTGTTCGTCCTCTGTAAAAGTAAGGAAAAAAAATCAAAAGAATGCAAACACGTTTGCAAAATGCCACTCAATAATGAATGTATTGGCACCCACCTTTATCCAACTTGAAATCACCCAAGAGCCGAAGAAGCTTGTTTCTGTTGGTGATAAGTATGGTTATTATCTCAGCTGGTTTGTTTTGATTTGCAACAAATAACTGCAAGAGAAGAGAGGGGACAATGAGCAATCAATCACGAGATAAACACAGTGGAAATCATGGAGATTTAGCAATGAGATTTAGAGGGAGTACCTTGAACACATGAAATGCATCTATTTGGATGGTTTTACTTGATTCCTGCCAATAGAAACAAGAAGATATCACATAACGAATGAAAAAGCTTTCATCAATTACAATAATCAGAATTCTTAACATAATTGTCCAGTATTTGCAGGGGATATTAAGGGTGTGTTAGTTTGAAGGAATAGGAGGTAATTGAATTCATCTAACAAATATAACATATGTTTTTTTTAAGAAATTTTACATACATACCACTCTATACATTCCTATTTACATATCAAACACTCAAAATTTTAATATTACATACATACCACCCTATATTATTTTAATATCAAATATACCACTCATATTTCTTTCCTATCACTCATATATTTCATTTCTACCACTCATAGTTGATATGAAAATGAACTATGAGTAGTTTGTATGTAATATTAAAGTTTTAGATGTTAAATATGTAAATAGAATAGCATAGGGTGGTATGTATATAAATCTCCCTTCTTTTTATAGACAGTTTCTTACCCAACTCTAATGAAAAACAAGAGCAATCGGGTCATTGATGTGAGTTGTATGTCTTCTCCTCGTGACCAAAAAAAATCACTCAATTTCTCCTAAGCCACAGAAATGGGTGACAACTAATTTGATCAGCTCCTTGAATCATCTTCCGTTCTGTTTGCACTGCCGCTAGATTAGCTAAATCAGTTTGCTTGGCTCGTTCATTCTGTTTTTACTTGTATTAAGTAGTTTAATATCAGTTAAAGCTTATTAACATTTAGGCTTCATTTGGGACGGCTTTTTTACTGCTTCTTAAAGCAGCTTTTAGTTCAAAAAATTTAATACTTATACTAAAAAGCTATTTTAAGAAGCAGTAAGAAAGTCGGCCCAAACGAAACCTTAGTCTGTTAGCGTTCAGTCCTCTAGTTGGATAACTAGAGGACGTTGTAAGTGGATGGCAGGCTTTTTGATACATCTTCTAGTAAAAAAACCAAAACGTTGTAAGTGCATTCAGGAAACTAAATGGGTTGAAGAGAAGGGTAAGGAAATTGATAATTTAGGATTTAAACTTTAGTATTCGGGTAGGAGTCGTACTAGAAATGGTGTAGGTGTTATTATAGATAAGAGGTTGAAAGAAAAATGTTATAAAAATTAATAGGATTGAGGATATAATTATAGCTTTAAAGATTGTTGTTGAGGATAAGATTGTTAATATTGTAAGTGTTTATGCTCCTCAAGTAGGTTTGGATATAAGTTCTAAATTAAATTTTTGGAATGACTTAGAAGAATTATTACAAAAGATACCTCTAGAAGAAAGAGTTTTTATTGGAGGAGATTTAAATGGACATGTTGGTTGAGAGGTAGATGATTTTAAAAACATTAATGGTGGCTATGGTTTTGGAACAAAAAATGAAGGTGGCAAGAACATATTAGATTTTTGTTTAGCTTATGATTTTTCAATTGCTAATACTTTTTTTAAGAAAAGGAATAAGCATCTCATCACTTATAAAAATGAATATAGTACAACCCAGATTGACTATTTTCTTATTAGAAAATTAAATCGTTTAGATTGCAAAGATTGTAAAGTTATTCCGAGTGAAAATTTATGTATCCAACATCGATTATTAGTTTTGGACTTTAAGATAAAGGGGCATAAAATAAAAAATAAAATAAAACGTTTTTCTAGGATTAGATGGGGGCATTTAAAGAATATTAACAAAAATATTTTTGAGAGTAAGATTTTAGATCTTAAGATTTTGTCTATGCATGAGGATGCTAATATTATGTGAGAAAAAGTAGCTAGTGATATTAAGAATATT